TCATCACCTTCATTACCATAACTATCACCATTACCACCATCATCACCTTCATTACCATAACTATCACCATTACCACCATCATCACCTTCTTTACCATCACCTCATTACCATCATCATCATCACTAAAACGATCGCCATTATCTCCACCATCCTTATCACCACGACCACCATCATTATCACCACACCACCATCGTTACCACCACAACCACCATCATTATCACCACAATCACCATCCTTATCACCACACCACCATCATTATCACCACGACCACCATCATTATCACGACGACCACCATCATTATCACCACAATCACCATCCTTATCACCACACCACCATCATTATCACCACAATCACCATCCTTATCACCACACCACCATCATTATCACGACCACCATCATTATCACCACGACCACCATCATTATCACCACAATCACCATCCTTATCACCACACCACCATCATTATCACCACGACCACCATCATTATCACCACGACCACCATCATTATCACCACAATCACCATCCTTATCACCACACCACCATCATTATCACCATAATCACCATCCTTATCACCACACCACCATCATTATCACCACGACCACCACCGGTGGCCCTATCGTCAGAGCAAGCGCGCTTTCACCTCTAAGTTTGTGGGTTTGATTCTCGCTACGGATTCATGTGAAATAAGTCATTCAACGCTCTGCCGAAAGTCGTGGGTTTTCTCCGGGTGCTCTGGTTTCCTCCCACAGGGAAAGTTGACAAGGTGGGTTAGGATAAACACAGTCAGGAAAGTAACATCACAATTGGTGTAAAGATAAATAGTATAGGAGGCAATATAAGTAAACGTGGTACTCGATGTAATCAGTCACTGGAAAACTGCGGTCACCATTTATATCACCATTATCATCACCATCACTACCACTAATATCGTCATCACAATCCTCACATCATTTCTAAGAAATATCTTCCAGGCAGCATACCTCTGTAATAGATCTATAAGGAATGATAGTAACCCAAAGTTCTCCATTAAGAGAGCCTTTACGGCACAACCAGTACCGGAACATTGACCCCGGAACAAAGACCTGGTACAGTAAGAAAGCCAACAGCAGAAAAAAGATCAAAGTCGAAACAAAACAACACTTCAGTTCTAAGAATATAAAAAAAATCTGATATTAGAATATACTGGAAAGTTTCCAGATGCTGTTGAACTAACTTTATTTATACTGCATAGTTCTATCAGTTCTAAATTGTTCTTCCTAGAGGTCCAGTAAGGATCATGTCGTATTGATCCAGTGTTGTTACTACAAGAGCAAACCTAAACTAAACTAACTTTATTTATACTGGGTATCAGTTCTAAACTGTTCTTCTTAGGGGCCCAGTAAGGATCATTTCTTATTGATCCAGTGTTACTACAGGAGGAAACCTAAACTAAACTAACTTTATTTATACTGGATAGCTCTATCAGTTCTAAATTGTTCTTCCTAGAGGTTCAGTAAGGATCATCTCGTATTGATCCAGTGTTACTACACGAGGAAACCTAAACTAAACTAACTTTATTTACAGTATACTGGACAGCTCTATCAGTTCTAAATTGTTCTTCCTAGAAGTCCAGTAAGGATCATCTCTTATTGATCCAGTGTTACTACAGGAGGAAATTGAAGAGCACTATTTGCAGAGTCAAACTTGGAAGCACTCTTCTCGCATTTGTTGGGAATAAACCAAAATCTATTTTACATTTTTACTCACTTCTCCACGCTCTTTTGGAAGCATATTTAATCTTCTCGTGTGTGGATTTCTCCGACAACTCGTAGATTTGCTCGACTTCGTTCAAGATATCTTGTCTCCCCATGTCTAGTACAATACAAACGAAGCATTCCACCAACTGCTCTTCCTCCAACGATTTCGGGGACTTTCGCTCCAACGACATTCCAAGGAGGGTGTGCTTTCTGCGAAGAAAACTTCCGACAGGCAGGTGAGACTGAGGGATTGCCTTTCCGGGGCGGTCAAGCGAGGCGTAAACACGTTCGCCATTTTCCACGCTTCCTATAACCTTCACTTTGACAATTCCTATGACACAGACGGTGTCGGTTTTACCTTCTGCGGAAAAAGAAACAAACGAAAAATCAGAGTAAGAAAGATTTCATTTATCATACATGTAGTCTATCAGGAACTGATTCGTTTTTTCGTAAGCCCCATAAAGACAAAAACGTTTTCCTTGACAAGTTTATTTACATTCTGTGCACATGGGCAACAAAACTTGTCAAGGAAAATTTGTCAAAAGAAACTTGTTGACAGTACACACGAGAAGGTAAACTTGTCAAGGAAATTAAAACTTGCTCGTCTTACGGGGCAATGGTTACTTTGGCTGGTTTTTCTCTAAGAAGAACAGTTTAGAACTGATAGAGATATCCACTATAAATGAAGTTAGTTCAGTTTAGGTTTCCTCCTGTGGTAACACTGGATCAAGAAGAGATGACCCTTACTGGACCTCTAAGAAGAACAGTTTAAAACTGATAGAACTACGTATTCAGTATAAATAAAGTTAGTTTAGTTTAGGTTTCCTCCGGTAGTAACACTGGATCAATAAGAGACGAGCCTTACTGAATCTCTAGGGAGAACAGTTTAGAACCGATAGAGCTGTCCAGTATAAATAAAATTAGTTCAGTTTCGTGAGCCCGAGCAGTAAAAATATCCGTTTTAAGGCAAAACACATGGACACTTACCATCCTCAGGCATTCTATTTGCAGCTATATAATACGAACGACTAACGACGCCTGCGTGAACAGCGTTTTCAATATCATTACTCCGCAATAACTTCACATAAGTTCCACCTTCGTCATCATCCGTGAAGAAGCCAACCACGTCCCCTTCCTGCAGCTCAGCTCCTATTTCTTCGTCTTTGATTTTGAGGTGGTAAGCAATATCAGCATTCGGTGACGACATTGATCCAGCCGTGGACATCGAACCAAAGACAAGATCGTCAATGCGTGCAGTCCGTGCCACGAGACTGTCGGTGATTACATGTGTACTTGTTATAACTGGTGAAAGAAAACCCAATCATGTTCTCGAATTTACACGAGTAAAAATCTCACAACTTATTAGTTGTCACAAAAAGTTATTAGCAAGTTGACGACAACAAAGCTCGTGGCAACTTGTTACGAACAGCCTGCATTAGTCATTGTTGGAACAACATGTAGCGAGTCTGTTGCCGTCATCAACCTTGTAACAGGGCGATACAACTTGTTCCAGACTTGTCACAACAACTGGGAACAAGCAGTGCGAACACATCCTGCTATTGGCTTGACAACAACCTTGTTATAACTTGTTTGCAGATGTTTACCGTACGTATACTGCATGTCAATGGTTCTAAATGGTTCTAGGAACCATTCGCAGATCATTCGTGAAGGCAAACTACGCTCACAAGTTCGTTTCAGTAGACAAATTGCGTCTTGACGAATGATCTGTCTGCTTGCGACGTTTATGCAGAGACAAACTGTTAGATGAAATATATTTGCTTTGCCCAAGTTCGTTCCGCACAAGAGAAACAAATTTATACTCACGTGGAGGCGATGCTGGTTCTAGAACAAATAAAAGAAATATCAGAAGAATCATGATGATGATGATGATAGTGGTGGTTAGATGGTAAATCGGTGATCATGATCATGATAATGGTGCAATATGGTGATATGATGGTGATCATAATGATGGTCATCATGATGATAGTTATATTGTGATGATATGGTGGCGATCATGATGGTGATCATGATGGTGATCATCATGGTGATCATGATGGTGATCATGATAATGGTCATATGGTGACAATATGGCGATAATCATGATGATGGTAATCATGATGGTGATGATATATATGGTGGTGATCATGCTGATGGTGATCATGATGATGATATGGTAATGATCACGATGGTAATCATGATGGTGATATATATGGTGGTGATCATGATGGTGATCATGATGATATGGTGGTGATCATGATGATAGTGATATGGTGGTGATCATAATGATGGTGATGATGATGATGGTGATATGATAGTGATAATTGCCAGTAGCCCACTTTTATTCATTGCGATTGGGATTTAATACAAATAAATGCATGATACCTTGTAGTCCGGGTGTTGGAGGCTGCTCAGGTGGACTTGTTGGTTGACCTATTGGTTGACTTGGTTCTAGAAAAAGTGAAGAAAAATTGAAATTACATTTTTTAAAATTAAAATGCACGCAATACAATTTAGTGTTCTGACCTGTTGACGTAGAATCTATACAGGCAAATGTTTCTGAAAAATGTTTCCGGTTTACATAGCTTTTGGAAAATATGGCTAAGAAGCAATGTTGCGAAAAATAGCTGGTCAAAACTTGGCTTGCCCTGGGCCTTAACCAAGACTTCAGAAACTACACATATTTAATTCTTTATACTAGATATAATTATACACTAACAAGATGAAATAGCAACATACCACCAGGTTTCTTAGTCCGACATCTAAATACGGGACTTTCAAACACCTCCGATGGATCTCGGTCGACGAACTGAAGCTGTACTCGTAACTTAAATCTATTTCTCACGGCTGTATCCGTTTTAACAAGCTTGAACATTTGATGATCTGGACCAGTATATATTTTTCCAAGATCAACGTAGAATCTAAGCTGTTATAAAAAAAGAAAAAAGATCTAGGATCGCCTGAAAAGGAGACTAAATATATCACAGCAGGTGCGTTGAACTTTAGAAGGCCTGAAAAGTACTGAGTTGTATTATGTAAATTAATCACGTAAAACGCACAAGTTGTTACAAGTCTGCAAACAAGTTGTTACAAATCCGTTCACAAGACACAAGCTGTCGACAAGTTGTGTTCGCATTGCTTGTTCCCAGTTATTGTAACAAGTTTGACACAAATTGTTAACAAGCTTGATGGCATTATCAGACTTGTTACAAGGTTGTTCTAACAAGCCTGATACAGTCATGATATAACAAGAATATTACAAAGTTGACCAAACGAGGTTGGAACAATATTGTTATATCACGATCATCGGATACATACCAGAAGAAGATATATGGGAAAAAGCTTTTGGGCGTCACGTTCGACAGAACTATTGTGGACGGTTAATACTGCAAACTTTTACTGGTTGCTATACTCATACTTACTGTAAGGTACTGTTGGCCATTTATAACCTCTGGCATAGGAATAGAACCGCGTTCTGGATCTACGTAATTCTCTGCAAGGTTCATCATATCGTTTTCATTCTTCATCAAAATATCATCCTTACCCAAGTCCCCCACAAGCCTGGCGGCCTCCTCCTCTCGCCTTACACAACCTACTATGCGACACAGTGTTGCTGGACTGAACGTTGCTTTCATTTGAATCACAACATCTTTCAATACCTGACGTGCACGACCACCTGTTCTACATTGCACTTTATCAAATACCTGGTCTGTTTGAACATTCAGGAACTCAACTAGTGCGAATGATGGGGTCGGATCATCACACGGGAATGTTTGTGTCGGATCAAACATTTCCGTGTTTGTTTGTGACGGATCGTCAATTCCAAAACCTGTTTATTAAAAGAGAAAATCATGTATTCGTTATGCATACAATCGACATTTATGATTAAAATCATCATCATCACCATCATCACAACCATCACAATCATCATCATCACCATCCTCACCATCCTCACCATCCTCACCACCATCATCCTCACCATCATTATCACCATCATCACCACCATCATCCTCACCATCATTATCACCATCATCACCACCATCATCCTCACCATCATCCTCACCATCATTATCACCATCATCACCACCATCATCCTCACCATCATCACCACCATCATCCTCACCATCATTATCACCATCATCCTCACCATCACCATCACCATCACCATCACCATCACCATCACCACCATCATCACCACCACCATCACCACCACCATCATCATCACCATCATCATCACCATCATCACCATCA